CAGGGGGGTCCCTGCCGGCCCAGAGGGGACCCTGCCGCCCCTCCGAGCTGCGGGACCTGCCGCCCGTGGAGCGGGACCCGGGGTCCTGCCTCTGGCCTCAGCCCGGCCGCCGTCCCCCCGCGGACTGAGTCACGAGTGACTCACTCCAAACTTGGATGCGAGCGCAAAGTATACATTTGCAAATTGGCTGGTGAGGCACTGCTTTGCAATGTAGGTGGGATGTATTACATACTCCAGCAGTCAAGCCCTGCTCTTCCCCCTCCTCCCTCCCGCAGGGAAGCTGCCTGAGCGCAGGATCCCGGCGCGGCTCCCGCGGGCGCTGCCCGCTCCCCTGGATGTGGCATGTGGATGGTCCCGGCTCCACTCCTGACAGAGCTCTGTGCTGAAAATGGATGATTTAGCTCTCCTCGACCTGTTGGAGTGTCCTGTGTGCTTTGAAAAGCTCGATGCCACAGCGAAGGTGCTGCCTTGCCAGCACACTTTCTGCAAGCCCTGTCTGCAGAGGATCCTGAAATCCCAAAAGGAGCTCAGGTGCCCCGAGTGCAGGACCCTGGTGCTCTGCAGCATCGAGCAGCTGCCCTCCAACCTGCTCCTCATTCGTCTCCTGGATGGAGTCCGGTGTGGACAAAGCGTTACCAGGTTCGGCACAATCCAGAGGTCAGGGGTCCTGTCCTCCCCTGCCTCCATCAGGAGAGTTCCCAGAGGGTTGCAGCTTCATCAGCACCGGCTGGCAACAAATCCCAGGATCCACATGGAAGGGGTAAGGACTGTGCACGTTTCTCACTCTGTCCGTCAGCATAGAAAGCTTTCTTGTTGTGTGCCAAGAGCTATGAAACTTTCCTCTTAGCAGAGCTGCAGAAATGTTTGAAGTAAGAGAGATGGTTTTGTCTGCAAACCTGGCTGCAGTTTTCTTGTGGTATTTCCCTATGTCGAGCTCATCACAACGGCAATTGCAGGGAAACCCAGCTTGTCCTTCTTACAAAAACTTCACAGCAGCTGTTTTCCCCAGGGGTTTTCAGGTGCTTCATGAGTTCTGGGGAGGGGGCATTTCAGGCACTTTGACTTTTGGGCAATATACTGAATTTTGACTGATGACAATTAAAGCAGTAATTGCAAAGCTGTAACTGTTAGAGGTGGAGAAAGGTGTTTCCCATCACTGCAGCTCAGCTTCCCCAGCCTTAGAAGACGAAGGGGAGCACGTAATGACGCTTGTGTCCCGGAGAAGTACTTGGAGGTTCATTAAGGGAAAATATTAAACTCGAGTTACTAACTTTATCTGGGAATTATTTGCTAGGCTGAATTTAAAATTCTAAGTTGTTTCTGTTGTTATTTCTTAGCAGCACAAAAGCTTTTCTTAAATACTGAGAAGGTGACATTAGGCCTGCTGAAGGAGCTTGGCTCAGACTGCATTTGGGGTAGAGACTCCCCTGTGGCTTCACCTCCACCCCCCGGACCCCCATTTGTGCTCCTGAACCCTTCTTCTGCACTATGTCTCTACAAACCCTTTATAACATTCAAAAGCTTTTCTCAAATGGCTGTTAAATCTCAGGGCATCTTTCAGAAGTGCAGAGCTATAAACTTGCAGGCAGAGCCGGGCAGGTTTTGTCACCCCAGAGGTGGCCGGGGCGGGCAGTGCTGGGGGATCCCGCGGGACCAGCGGCTGCGCGTCCGCCAGGGAATCTCTGTGGCCACGCTAAGTCATCTGGGATGGGTGGCACGTCAAAGCAGGCATCTCTGAGGAGCTCCTGTTCCGAGTTCTCCCAGAGGAAAGTGTGGCAGTGCAGCCCGAGACACGCGGGTCCCTTTCCCGGGAGCCCCGCCTGGCCGGGCTGGGCAGGCAGAGCCCGGCCGGCCCAGAGAGCGGCCTGGAACCTCTGCGGCCAGAAACTGCCCTTCGGCTGAGATGAGACGCAGCTCAGTCCCCAGAGCCGGGCGCTGCTGTCCCAAGGGCAGCGGGGGCAGAAGGGGCCACAGCCCCACCCCG